AGCAATGCTTTACCCCAACTGATACAATCATCAACACATTAAGATGAAGCACAACTTGGACATTGACCACCTGTGGTAGTCACCCTTAAATCATTTGAATTAAATTGAAATCAAGAAGCAGTCCAGAACATGTCTGCAGTGAACAAAATTTCAGTATAGTGTATTTACCATTTAATGGCTCAGACAGAGCGAGGATGCAAGACCCCTGATCTCAGTTAGCTGATGGCTGAACCCCATGACACTGACTGACCTCGGGCTGCAAGGCCCAGATTGAGTTCCCCATCCTTCTGAATGGTTGAACTCCGCAACTTTCTATTACAGGTTTCCCACGCCCTTTCTTTAAAGATGTTCAAAGTTGGGAACTCAGAAAAATACCCTTGATGACCAGCTCTGACTCTGCAGAGTGGGTGCAAAGACTGGCACAGTCAGGAGGACTGAGACTGCATGGGGGGGGTTATGGGGGTTCAGGGGTGACTGCGTGGCTACCTTCTCAGTGCTTGAGCTATGGCTGCTGGGTCAGGAGCGGGCGTCGTTCTCCTTCCCGTGGTGGATCGGATCCCCAGCTACTTCCTGGCGCTTGAGCGATGGCAGCTGGGCCGGGGGCAAATAGACTATATTCTTTACAATCTATTCTATTTTGTACTAAATGGCTATCCTAGTGCATTTGTAGAATGATTTTGCTTAGCGTTGACCCTGAGTCACTTAAAAAGGACACCAAATTATCCTAAATATTGCTCTTCAAGATCTAGGCTTTTCTCTAGATTTTAGCATTGGGGGAATCATATTTGTGTCAGCTACCTTAGAAGATTATAAAAGCTCACTTGACCAACTATATGTTGAATGACTTTAAATGTTATTTATCAACAAAAAATAATTTTAGGCCTCAAAGTGTCGATGCCAAAAATCTCTTTGAATTGGGCAGTTTAATTTCAAGGATGATTTTATTCATTACAATGTTCTGCAAAGGACTGTGGTTTAATTAAATTGTTCAACTAGTAGAAATCCTGGAATTCAGAGACCACAGTAATCCAAATTTCAAGTAATAAAAAATATGATGAACAGAAGGAAACTGAAAATAAATGAACACAAAATGATGCTGAACTTTCTTCCTATAAGCTGGTCATGGTTCTCCTCACATGTCACTTGCTATCATTTTCGTACTTAAGAGGAAAAGATAAGGCAAAGGCAAAAAACATGATTGAGTGGTTCAAGTTGAAACGCTTTGGACCTTTTGAAAAGAGGACCATGCTCCCCGGGTGCCGATGTGCTCCTCCAGGTGGAGACTTCAGTAACAAACACCCATTGTGATGTTGGAGTTTCGGTTCTCTTTCATCCTGAGAGCTCAGGAAAGGAGGGAAGGCTGTTCATGGAAGGAAACAGATCCTACCCAACAATCCTTCAACAGCATTTACTATGTCAAGGAACCACGGTTAAAGCACCAAATAGACAAATCTGAGGCATTTAGAATTAATTGATCTGAGTTGAGACTTACAGGGCAGTTATTTTATGGTTACATAGCAAGTGTCCTCCAAACACTCATGTTGTGTGGTCACTAAGCTTGTGCATGGATTGCTCCATCGGTGAGTTGGAAGCTGACCAGGGTACAAGGGGAGAGGGCCTCATTGAAGGAAGTGGGTCCCTGAAGGCATGGCTCTGAAGGCTGTATCTGTTCTCTAGCTCTTTCTAGCCCATTCTACTTCCTGGCTGCCATGAGGTGAACAGTTTTCCTCTGCCACACCATTTTGGCCTCAGAGTTAGCCCACCATGGTTTGGTACCCTGAGCCAGAATGAACCTTCTTTCCTTTATGTTGTGTGTATGTGTCAGGTATTTTGTTCCAGCCAAAACAAAAACAAACAAAAATCCTGACCATGGTAGTACAGAAAACTGGTACTAAGAAATAGGGCTGTTTCTGTGACTACACCTGATTTCAGAAGACTTTGGAACTGGTTTACGAGAAGAACTTGGAAAGTTTTGGAGAAGCAAGTTAGAAAGGGGCTGAAATGCTATAAGCAGGGTTTGGTGGGTGATGCTAGTGTGAGCTCAACAGACCAGAATATTGATAGGAATGTAAACAGCAAAGGTAAAGTTTCAGATGGAAATGAGGACTCTTTTGGACATTGGATTAGAGGAGTTGCACATTACATTCTTGCAAAGAACTTGTCTACATTTTTTCCAAGTCCTCAAACTTTAAATGAGGCTGATTTTAAAGGTGATGGACTAATTAGTCTCTTGGAGGAAATGTCAAGACAGCACAATATTCAGGGAATACTGCATGGGAATTGCAGCCAGATTTATAGTGTGATTCCCGACTAAAAGCAGAGCAGAAAGACTTGAAAAGCTTGCAGTTTGGCCATAAAAGAAGCAGATATGAAGCCAGAGCCTGAGAAGGTGGTTGCTAAGGCTGTGGGAACAGGGATGCCCAAGTCTTCTGGAGCTCATAACTCACCAGAACATGCTGGCCTGGGAGCCAGAGAACCCGATGTTTGCCCTGCTGAGCTGTGGCCTTGCTTTGGTCTGATCTCCGTCTATCCCCCATTCCTTCCTTTTGGGATGGGGATGTTTACTCTGTGCCATTGTATTTTGAGAACACGTATCTTGTCTTTTGATTTTTTTATTAGTGCTCACCTTGAAGAGTTCACGTTGAGTCTCGAAGGAGAGACTTTGGACTTGGACTTTTGAGCAATGCTGGAATTGTTCAGTCTTTGGGGAAAAAGGATTTTGCATTTTCAGTTGTATACAGGATAGTTAGGTGGGATTATGACCTTGATACTTACCCACTTTGGAGGTTAAATATAGTTTCAAGGGATGTGTTAGAGCATCAGATTGACAAGGGGTGGATTTGTGGCTGCTACTCTTGAATGTCAGCTTGATTTTCTTTGAACCAGAGCAAGGATGATGCATGGAACGGAAGCTTTGCACCAGCACACTCCAGACTTAATGGGGCCCTTCTATGCTCGGTCTTAGCTCAACTTGTAGTCCAGTCCTTCTCCTCCTTTTCTGAGATAAATTCATATGATTGATTCTAGATTCAGCATAATTCACAGAAACAATTTCTATTCCCACCTCTCACCCATATTTTACTCTTAAAAGTACCATATGCCTGAAAATTGGGTTGCAAAAACTTGACATTATAGCTTGTTCTCATTTTCATAACCTGTAAACTGTGGGAGGACTACAGAGATGATGAAAATAAAATACTGGGTGCCTGTTTAGTAAATGTTACTTTGGTTTTTGTTTTTGAAATGAAAATGTGGGCTTTTCTATAAGAAAAATGAAAAAAGTAGAAAAGAAAACTGGGATTTGAGTCATAGCGAATATGTTGAACAGCATTATTAGCTTTGTCACTGGAAAAGATACATTTTTTGCATGGTTTTGTCAGCTCCATTATGAAATTTTCTTCCCTAATATAAAGTATCAGTAAATCTGCTCCTATGACATAGAAAGTGAGAGCTGTTTAAGTGGTAATTTGTGATGTGAACAATGGGAGCCAAGTTTCCATCCTGGCTTCATAGAGGAAGAGTGGTTCTGCTTACAGGGGTCAGGCTGAAATGGTGCTAATAATGACACCCATCAACTCTCAGTCTCACCCCCACCAGTATAAAGAGAAGTGGGCAATCTGTGGATGGAATTTCAGATTTATTATATAATCACCATTCTTAGTATCATATGTATCAGAAATTATTTCCAAGGTTAGAAACCATTTACTGCCTAGTTCATGGCCTAATTCTGGATGGACTTCCCCCACATTCTCAGACAGCATAGCAGATTGAATTGCACACTAAGGCCAAAGGAGCTGCAAAGTTGGCTTACTTGAAATGCTGTAGCTAAATGCTTGCTTTCACAAGACACCCCTCCATTTTAGGCAGCGCTTCCCAGCTCACACGGCACCCCTACCCAGCTGGCTGGCTGGAACTGGACTCTGGACCTTCCAGAGCAACAACAAACACTGCCTGTTTTCCCAACACACGGGATGACTGGCTGCTCTCAAGGTCAATTCTCTTTAATACTTACACATTTGAAAATTTTAAAGACAAGGTTTTTTTCTTATGATCTTCAGTAAATGGCACTTAAGTGATAGAACAAGGGCATCGTAAGGATGAAAAGGCCTTAGATTGAGCCTCAAACTTTGAGAAAAACGTACCTCACCACAGAGAAGTGATGGGATGTTCCAGGACCCTTGGGGAATGTCTCCTTTCCAACTGCTGGGTTGTGGCAGCTCACATTCAATATAGGACCCTATGAGAAGATCCCAGTCCCAGAGCCATTTTAATGAGATTTTGAGTGACTCATCCTCTGGCTCCTCTAGTTTTGTCCAATTTCACTCAGGGTAACCATGCCTCGGGAAGCAACAGCTGATGCCCTAAGCCCATCTCTGTCATGTGTATGTCCAGGTAGTTGGAAGGTTCTGGAAGGGATATGCTGAGGTCAATTGGTATATATGCTGACATTATGTCTCTTGTTGCTGGGTTTTCCGCTCTTTGTGATTGCAGGGCAGAAATTCTAGGACAATGTGCTTTTAAATTCTCACATCAGAATTTGGGAAAGGTCAATGGGAATCGGAGGGGTTGATAGCAATATATTCTCAAAGAATTAACTGCTTGAATGTTTTGGTAAAAAGGAATCTGTAAATATGTGTCTGTAAATGCATATTCATTTTCCCTTTCCATTTCTTCTGTGGTTGATTGAAGATTACTTGTTTCTCTTATGGTTCTGGGTCTGAGGGCACTGGTATGTGTTTCATCTTTCAAACATAAAATTTTAATATGGAACTTGCTTTACATTGAGTTTATCTTTTCTTTTTTAACATCGGATGCACATTGTGTTACAATTTTATATTATTTCCGGACACATTTTGGAGAAGGGAGCTGAAGAAATTTTCTCAAGAGGGGGAGATGTATAGGAAGTATTTTTACATTTGTCAGAAGAATGCTTTTGTTTATTTTGTTTTGTTTTTAATGAAAAACCTCGATGGAGTCCATATCTTCATTTTACTGGCGGCCGATAGAATGCATGATCTGAGTAGTAAGAGCTTGAACCCCAAGGTATTGGTACACACCTCAGAATTCTCGGAGAGCAGTGGCAGTGACTGAGTAACTGTGAAACTGCCCAGCACAGGGCCTGGGGTCTGTGGGTATCCACCTGCGTGCTTCGGTTTGTGAACCAACAGTACCTGGGGAAATACAGGGGAGGAGAATTAAATTCCACATCTGTCCCAAGGACATGAGGAATTCGCTGGATGCTAGCTGAACCTGAAACAGGAAATAGAAATGGTTTCGGATTAAACCTCAGATGTTTATGTTTTCTTGCCCTTGGTTTTTAAATCTACAAACAGAAAGCTCTTTGGTTGCTTAACGTTTCTTGCTACTTTGACTCTAGATCATTACAGTTTTACATGTCTGTTTGGAAAGATAGACGTCGGATCCACTGTAGCATGTGTTTTATGTGACGGCTGTGTGCTCAGGAAGGCCAAAAGTGTGCTTGTGGGGCAGGAAGGGGGAGGTGAGGGTCAGAGCATTGCTCCTGACTCCCTGGAGCTGTGCGGTGGTCGAGGTGAAGCGTGGAGCATCACTGGGATTTAGAGACTGCCCAGGTTAAAGTAATAAACATGTTGGGATTCGCATTTAGGCGGGAGAGGCAGAGAGGGGAAGGGAGATGTCTGAGACAAGCAGGGCCCTGTGATGTCTACAGTCCAGCATGTTGGCATCATTTCATTTTTCAACTCAGTCTCCAGTCAAATGAAAGGGTCGGAGCCAGCCTCTGAGCTTCGCCGGATCTGGAAGCTGCAGTGATAGCTGGGACGTCCTCTCTGCTTCCGTTTCTGCCTTGCACGGCTGGGTTTACGATTTTATTCTGGAAATGTGCTCTGGTCCAAACCCTACCAGCAGACGAGGAAGCCCCAATTTTGTACACGTCTTCAGGCAGAGACAAGCAAAAAAGAAACAAAGGAAAACCATGTCAGAGCACGCAGAAACAAAGGCTTTGGAACACTTGCATCTGCGTACAGGCAGCCAGACTTCAACTGAGTCATGGGTCCTCACTCCGCCTCAGCCAGAGAAAGCACCCGACACTCGGGGGTTAAGGTTGCTGTGTCTTTCAGAGGCCTTTGGTTCATTTTGATGTTACTTCCATCCTCACTAGTTAAACATTTGTTCTTTAGAGTAGGATTTTGTAAAACAAGAATTCTGATACCAATTTGGGGCTCAGGACGCTGCACAGACTATTGTAAATGCTGGTTACTTTGCCACATTAAGTCTTTTCACATTTCCTTAGATGAGAAGTCATATGACTTGTTTGAAAACAAATACTTTGTGATCAATTTATTTTTCTTCCTTTTTCTGTGCTTGCTTTTCCCTACTTCTTTGGAACAAAAAAGCAACTCATTTGGATGGTTTATTTTTTAGTTTGGCTTATGTCTCCTGCATGTCAACTGGTTGTCTTCAGGAGGCTAAACTCCTGGACCCTTCTAGAAAGACGTCATCTTCTCTCCCTCTGAGATGTTTTCCAGCTTTCTGGCTGCCCGTGGCACATGCTCCTGGAGGAATAGGGGCGATGAAGGTTGAAAGAAGAAAGGTTTCCCTAAGCAGGTGAGTTCTGTCCAGAGTCTTCCCGTAGAGCATCGATTCTGGCTCAGGAATTTGGCAGGACTTGAGCATTTACGTGTGGTGTCAGTGTGGTGGTAGATGTCCCTTTACACTTATGCTTTAAAGGAAATTCACACTCCCCAGGGAGCCTGTGGAGAGCAGCTGGAGGGGCAGGATCTCCTGATGGCTGGCATTCCTGAGCCTGGTCTTTCTGCCTCTGTCCTGTTTGGGATGTGCCTCTCAAATTTAGTTACAGACCCCTGGGATATGATGTAATCCACAGGATAAATGGAGTCAGTTTTCCGCAAAAATGTAGAAGGATGGAGAGAAAATAAAGCAACGCAACTTTTAACTTCACGTGCTGCATAATTAAAAACACAATGGTTTCATTTTCAAGAGGAATGTAAAATTCCCACTGTTGTCTAAGAGAACCCAGGCCATGGAGATTCTGCTGTTGCCTTGGTTCATTTGGTTGGTAAGTGGCTTCAGCAAAAACATCCCGGAGATTCTGGCTTAAATCTACAACGTTGTGGCACATATTTAATTGTACTTGTCTACGAATGGGCTGAAGGTTAAAAGCCCTATTTAAAAATACAATGTAGTCACAAAAAGGACACACGTCTTAGTGAAAGAGTCAGAGAACAGAAAAGAAAGGAGACAACTCTGGCCTCTGGTGTGCTCGGACACAGAATCAATCTGCCCAATGGTACTGCTGTCCCTCATCTCTCCATCTCTGGGTTTCACTTTATTTTGTGGAAACTTTACTTTCACTTTCTAGTTGGTGGCCCCTGGCATCTCCAGGTATTCATTTCCCTAGAAAGAAATTTCTGCTCCCAGCACATGTGCAAAAGTCCTTGGCCCCAAGCCCTGGCTCAGGGGCCTGGGAGGCACTGCTTGGTGATGCTGGATCCCACACTTGTCTTTAGAAAAGAGGAGAGGGACCAGTGGGGTGGAAATCTAAGCAAATTGCATGCATAGAGAGGACAAAAGTGGGACTACGGGTGATTCAGAAAAAGTGGGAACAGATGCTGTCGGGTAAACACTGCATAAATCCAGTAAGATCATGTTTCAAAAACTCCTCAGAGACCTGAGCACCTTTCATGTGGTAAAGGTGATTCCTTGACTCCATAACACTGAATTTATTGGAGAACGGGACCAACGTTGACCAGATGCCTACTTCAAAGGCTCCAGTCATCTTTGGCAGACTTAATTAAATCTCATGTTACAGGTGAGAAAACTGAGTCCCGGACCCCAGTGATTCAGGCCCAGGCTAAGGGGCCAGGCCATGGGGCAGGACTGGATCCTACACCGCCCCGCCCCCTTCACTGTGACTCTTCTTCATCTCCCCTCCTCCCCCTCGGTAGGACAGCCGGCTCTGCAGCAGGGAGAAGCGCAGGGACATGCGCTGCAGGAGGGACACTGATAAGTAAGATCGCCTTCCCGGCCCCTTCGGGAGTGACCTCTTGGATCTGCATCCGCCTGTCGGGAATGGCGGTGTGGGACGAAGGTGCAGGGTAGGAATGGGCAGAGGCCCTGCCAGGGTACCTGAGGCCACAGCTGCCCTGCTCACCTCTAAGAGGCCCTGTTTTGAGATTGTCTGTTCTAATATATTTTAAGCGAGGTGAGGCTTTTGGGTAGGGCCATGGTCCCCTCATCCTCCGTGGGGAGGGAAGAAAGGGGATCTCTTTTTTTTTTTTCCTACTGTTTTCCCTTTTTTCCTTCTACTCTATTTGGGACCCTGGAGGTTCAGTCATCTCCCCATTTGTTCCCCTGGACAATCTTTGTTCTTGATTCTGACTTGTAAATAAAGCAAATATTATTCAAGTTTTGAAAAAAGAAAAGAAAGCTGAGTCTCACAGAGAGGAATTGCCACAGGAGCAACTCTACCTACTGTGGCTTAGCAGATGTGGGCTGGAAAATAACCCAGTTTGGAAAAACTGTACACTGTAGACTCAAAGACAGAGTAAGAGGGACAGAAAATGGAAGATGCGGAGTCGGGGCTGGCCTGCGGGTAAGTCACTTTCTGGGGAGACATTTCCTTGCCTACTCCATACCAGAGTTTTTGTGGGTCAGTAATCAATGTGTCCAGAAACATGCAACTTACAATTTCTCAATTCTATGAGAGCGTGAAAGCCATGCACACTCAGAATTTCAAATTTCTTTTTTCAAGAGCTAGCAATATGTGGCCCATTCTTTCTGATTCTGGGGAGCAGCAGTGCCCTCGAGAGGGGAACAGTCAGCGCTCCACAGTGGGCCGTGTTGGATGTCGCATAGCTTAGGCAGGTTACGTGAGTGTTTCACTTGCTGTATTTGCAACTTTGCATGGGTTTCTTTTGCCACAATCTCACTGGAAATGGAGTGGCATCTGTGCAGTCCCTGGAGAACCGTCCCTTCCTCTCCACCTGTTTTACTAGAATAACTAACTTCCCAGGACTAGGTTTGCTATGAGCCTGTGCTTGCTGAGTGAGTCACCCAAACAGCTCAAGAGGCTGGGAGAAAGACCCTTCTCTGCAGGAGATGCTCTTGGTAAAGAGGCCAGTAAGAGAGAGAACTCCATGGAGAACCATAGAATAGACCCTTAGTGACTGATTTTTGTGTCAAAAGAGCAATACAGGCTTGCAGATCCAGTGGAATGTAGGATTTCCCTGCTTATGGGGGTTCTTGTGGTCTAGGTTCTATTTCTGTATCATCTGATTTAACTGGGTGTGTTGAAATATCTCCTAATACTCTTTGGCATAGGTATGATTGCAAATGATAATTGCACTGTTTTGGTCTTGGGGTCAATTTCATTTCTCTCTGTGGAACATGTTGTGGGAATTAATTGTCAATGGAATGTGTGATACAATTTATAAATATTTATTGTCTATTCCTAGGAAATTTCCTTGTGCAAAGCAAGATGGCCAGGGCCTGAGCTTTCCCTTCCCCTCCTCTCCTTCCTTCTCCTGCACATCCTAGACCCTCTTTCCTTCTCCATGTAGTCTAGCTCCATTTCTTATTATCTGTCAGTTTGCTCTTTATTTATACTTTGGGTCTCTCACGTAAGAGGAATCATGTGATATTTCAGCTTGTGTGTCTGATTTATTTCACTTTTCATTATGATCTCAAGGTGATCCATTTTCCTACAAATGACTCAAATGTCTCTTTCCTAATGCATGTCAATACTTTATGTAGTAGTGTTTTGAATCCTCATGAAGATACTATAAGACACACACAGTCATTGATGTTCCAGCTTTGCAGATGGGGAAACTGAGGTTTTGAGTTGAACTGACATGTGTCACATTATCCAGCTAGTGAGACAAAAGAGGGAGGTGTCTGTGCTCCTGACCACAGACTGCCACGCTGCACAGTGGCTGGCCACCACACATCCTTTTACATCACTGTGCTACAGGTTGGCCTGGCAAAGGCAGGTGCATCTTTCTGTCAGTGTTGAGTGACATCCATGAACTGGCCCCCCCAGACGTCAGAACGCAGGAGGACAGAACAGGCGCTGGGCTGGGGAGGATGAGGCAAGATCTGGGAAGCGAGGGCCATGGACTCCAGGCTGGCTGGGCTCCGCTGAGTGTTGGGTCAGTGCTGAAAAGGGACCTGG